CCCGACGCGGCCTCTATAAGGCCGGCCGGACTGCGACACAGCCCAGCCCCTCGACCGCTCCCTTCGAGTCCCGCTGCCTCCCTGTCGGTGAGTTCCTGCCGGGACAGCCCTGGGTCCTGACGGCCCACCCCTGCTCCCTCACGGCCACCCCTGCACCTTCAAAACCGCAGTGCCCCGGCCGCTGGGCACTCCGCGGGCGCTGCGCACTCTGCTGGCGGCAGTCCAGCCTGGGGCCCGATTGCCGCGCTCCCGGGCAGGAGGGCGAGTCAGAAGCGGCCAGGCTGTGCCAGGCCCGCCCCAGGATAAGGCATCCCGATGGGGCAGCTCCCTTGAGTGTGCTCTTTTGGGTGCGGAGGGGTGTGCCCTGGGTGTGTTACTGCGTGTGGCCTGTCATGGCTGCCCTTAAGGCTGTGTGTGGAGCCGCTATTTCCCTCGCCTGTCACACTCCTGGCTTTCCTGGGACCCCTGGTTCTCAGCAGTGCTCAAAGCTCCCTGGCCTTATTTGCTTCTTAGAATCCTTTGACCACCTCTCCTGCTTTGGTCCTCTCTGCCCTCTCCCTCTCCTGGACAGCCCTGGACTGTCTCCTGATGCCACGGTGTGTGGCCTGAGCCTGCGTAGTTCCACAGGGGTAGTGAAATGGAGTGTGTGTGTGTGTGTGTGTGTGTGTGTGTGTGTGTGTGTGTTGGGGGGGAGTAGTGGCAGAGCTCTTGGGGTGTGTGGGTGAGAACTTTCTGCCCATGGCATTGACCAACCCCTCACCGCCAGCTCCAAGCCCAGTCTTCAGCCATGGCATGTCCCCTGGATCAAGCCATTGGCCTCCTGGTGGCCATCTTCCACAAGTACTCCGGCAGGGAGGGTGACAAGAACACCCTGAGCAAGAAGGAGCTAAAGGAGCTGATCCAGAAGGAGCTCACCATTGGCTCGGTGAGTGGCCCTCTCCCCAGGTTCCCGCTACTCACCTTCTGTCCTTGGGAAGCAGGTTTAGGAGAGGGAAGGGTGCCAGGTGCATCTGACTCATACTTACCCACACTCCAACGTCCTGGTCCACGTGCCTTACTGGTGGACCCACTGCCCCAGGGGCGGGGGAATGTGCTATCCACCCCCCACCCCCAGTGAGGAGCCAGAGGTGGGCATGGCACCTTGGTGGCCAGTGAGCACTGAGCCCCTTGCATGAGAGGGCTGCCTGGGAGCAGAGAAGGGAGAGAATCCAGGATTCTCATTCTCACCGAGTCTGTATTTCCCACTCTAACCCATCAGAAGCTGCAGGATGCTGAAATTGCAAGGCTCATGGACGACTTGGACAGGAACAAGGACCAGGAAGTCAACTTCCAGGAGTATGTCACCTTCCTGGGGGCTTTGGCTTTGATCTACAATGAAGCCCTCAAGGGCTAAAAATAAGTTGGGAAGGTGGAGACACCCTTTAGGGGGTCTCTCTGGGTCTGATCCAGTGATGGGTAACTGTATAATAAATATATTTTTTGGGGGTCAAATCTACCCTTGTGTCTTGGCCTCCCAATGATTTCTGATTTCTCCTTGGCTCGGTGGGGTACCAGCCATCATATTTGTTCAGTCAACTTCTGAGAGTGACTGACTCACCAGGCCAGAGCACCCACTCTGACAAGGCCACCACATAAAGGTGCCTTTGTGTGAATTAGAGGAGATGCCCTCTCTTGGCAAAGTCACCTTAAGGAAAGGCTCAAGTGCTCTCCAGGAGAAGGCTCTGGGATGAGCTTGGGGATAGAAATGGTGCCTGGAACCAGGCATGGTGGCTCAAGCCTATAATCCCAGCACTTTGGGAGGCTGCAGTGAGAGGATTGCCTGAGCTCACAGGTTTGAGGCCAGCCAGGGCAACTTGGTGAGACCTCATCTCTACGATAAATCAAAATATTAGCCAGGCATGGTGGTGCGTGCCTGTAATTCCAGCTACTTGGAAACTGAGGCAGAAGGATCCCCTGAGCCCAGCAGGTCGAGGCTGTGGTGACCGTGAGCGTGCCACTGCACTCCAGCATGGGCAACAGTGGGACTACAACTCAGAAAACAAAAAAAAAAAGAAATGTTGCCTGGGCTGGGCTGTGATGGGGTTTGGGTCCTTAGAAGAAAGGCAGACACAGTCCTAGCAGGCTCCTGGGTGCGGTGAGAGGGGCCTTGGTATGGAGCCAGTCCTGTTTCTCACCATAGTGAAGTGGGCAGAGAGGATGCATCTTAGATGTCTGAGGCCTGGCACAGAGGATTTTTCCAAGACCAATAAGGGAGCCGCATGACTGAGTTTATCGTGGTTGCCCATGTCCCAGTGGGAAGTCGGGGCGGCACACTTCAGGAGTCTGTCCCTGCATTCAGGGATGGGGTCATTTTTGTTGCAGGGTTGGTTTGAGGAGCTGGCAGCTGCAGAAACACATGAGCCATGGGGCGCTCACGGGTCGGGTGGGGGTTAGTATTGACCCAGCCTGGCCCTGCGGTCTCAGCAGAATGAATCATCCGGTTAGTCCGCTGGAGCCAAGCCTGGTCCTCAGCCCTCGTCAGGGAAGATGACTAATTGAATTATTGTCCATTGTCTGGATTAGTGTTTTTAGGCAAAAGGGAAGGGGGGAAAAACGGGGTAAACTCTGGCTCAGGGTGGTGGGCCATTTGCCACCACATTCCTCCGCTCTGGGTCTGGTCCCAGCCGGGCAGGTTCCTCTCTAGGTGCTGAGGAAAATATCTCAGCCTCAGATGGAGCCCACATTCTTCTTCCCCTATTACTCATTTCCTCACTCCCTTCGGCCCCAACTGGAGGAATGAAGTCGTCTTCTGCCTCCACTGGGTACGGATTGGTAAACAGCGGGGAGTTGCACCTTCTGGGAGCCCTTCCTTCTTGATAGCCTCCTCTGCCCTGCAAGAGGTGGAAGCCACACTGGTGGCAGCAGGAGACGACCCCCGGCCGAGCTCCTCCCCGGTACAGAGTTGTCCAAGCCTTGGCTCGGTTCAGCTTTTCAGGTCCCTCGGAAAAGTACGCGATCCCTCCTCAGCCCCCGCCCTGGCCTCCCGGCCGCCGCCCAGTGGGGTGCGGAGCGAGCGCCCTCGTGTGGCCAGAGAGCAGGACGCTGGGAGAGAGCCGGGTTGGTTTTCTTGGACCCCTGGGGAGGGGCCAACTGTGGTGGGGCGTGGCCTGGTGATCCGGGAGCCCTTCTGACCTGGAAGACAGAATTGGACGCCCAGGGAAGGTCAGGGAATCTTTGGTTCCCAGCAATCAAACCCAAATAAAGCAGCTCAACTTCGTCTGCGACACAAAGGAAAGAAATGAGGGAAAGGCGGTTTGTAAGACACAGAATCTGCATCCTGCCCTTCCCCTCCCCAGCTTCAGGGGCTAGAGGGCCTTCCCATAAATCAGTGCTGCCTTAGGAGAGGCAGGGGCGTTGTTTCTTTCCTTTTTTTTGTGAGCCAACTCTGCTGCCCAGGTTGGAGTGCAGTGGAACGCTCATGGCCACCGCATCCTCGACCTGCTAGGCTCAGGCAATCCTTCCTCCTCAGCCTTCCAAGTAACTGGAACTACAGGCATGCGCCATCATGCCTGGCTGGTTTTTCTGACTTAGTGTGGAGACGAAGTCTCACCAAGTTGCCCAGGCTGGCCTCGAACCCTTGGGCTCAGGCAGTTCTCTCACCTCGGCCTCCCGAAGTGCTGTGATTATAGGCGTGAGCTACCGCTCCTGGCCTAGGGGAATTGTTTCAATGGGCCTTTAAGACCCACTGCTGCAGGAAGGGTTGCTTAGGCAAGGTCATCGCCCTGCATTTCCAGAGAGCTCTGGTGGGTGGGCAGGCCCAGGGGTTGAGGGAGTCCGTGCAGGTGCACAGTCCACCTACTGAGTAAACAGGCGTAGGCCTCTAGCTTCTGCTTCTCCACAGTGGAGAACAGGAACACAGATGTCAAGAATAAAACCAAACAAACAATGGCAAATCTTTTGTTCGTTTGGGGGAAATAATTTGTAAGTTTTTTTTTTCCTGGGGGGGAAGCAAGCATTTATAATGGAAATACGTGGGTGTAGCAGTCAAAGGGAGGGATTGGGTGTGGGGAGGAGCACAGATTGTCATTTTTATGGCTCCAACCAATTTAAAACCAGAATTGAACCTTTCCTGCTCATTGGTGAGCATGGTCTGGGCTTATGGGTGGGGGCTGGAGGGAACGTTGAATGTGAGCTGGAGGCTTCACATCCAGCCTCTTTGTTTTCCTGAGGGCTGGGCAGTGAGAGTGGCTCTGTGTTTCCCACTTCCTTTAGTTGAAGTCCTCCTCATAATTGACATTGATCCTACAATCTAGACATCCTTACACACCTGTGTGCTTTGGTGACCACCACCCATTTCTGCAAACTGGGATAGATCTCAGTTCAGGACTGAGTCATAGGATATAGCTCTCTGTTCTTTGCCAAGCAAATAGGACATTGTCAACAATAATGCCACTATATATTTGTATAGCACTTTTTTTTTTTTTTTTTTTGAGTCAGAGCCTCAATTTGTCTTCCAGGCTGTATTGCAGTAGTATGATCATGGCTCACGGCAGCCTCAAACTCCAGGACTCAGGCTATCCTTCTGCCTCAGCCTCCCGAGTAGCTAAGACTACAAGTGTGCACCACCATGCCTAAGTTTTTGTAGAGTTGAGGTCTTGCTATGTTGCCCAGGCTGGTCTTGAACTTCTGGGTTCAAGCAATTCCCCCATTTTAGTCTCTCAAAGTGCTGGGATTACAAGTGTGAGCCACCACGCCCAACCTAGCACTTTTGTTTTACAAGGCACTATGTATCCATGGTCTACCATCCTCCAAGGATTTGTGTGTAGTTTGTATTATTAACGCCATTTGACTGGTGAGAAAACTGAGTTACAGGGGAGTCAGTGACTCTACCCAAGTCAAGCTCTAAGAAGGAACTGTGAGCAGGACCAAGCTTGCCTAATCCTAGGCCAGCTCATTAGTGCCTATCTCACTATCTCATGGCATACTTTGACCATTTTTTCATCTTTTTGTTTAGTCTTTTTTTTTGAGTCAGGGTCTCCGTGTGTTGCCCATACTGCAGGGCAGTGGTATGATCATGGCTCACTGTAGCCTCAACCTCCTGGGCTCAGGCGATCCTTCTGTCTCAGCCTCCCAAGTAGCTGGGGCCATAGGCACCACCACACCTGGCTACTTTATTATTTTTTATTTTTTTTGCTTGAGTTGGATTCTCATTCTGTCACCAAGGCTGGAGTGCAGTAGCGTGCTCTTGGCCACCGCAGCCTCGACCTGCTGGGCTCAGGTGATCCTTCTACCTCAGCATTCCAAGTAGTTGGAACTACAGGCAAGCGCCACCACTCCCGGCAAATTTTTCTTGATTTATTGTAAAGATGAGATCTTGCCAAGTTGCCCGGGCTGGTCTCGAATCCGTGGGCTCAGACATTTCTCTTATCTCCATCTTCCAAAATGCTGGGGTTATAGGTGTGAGTCACTGTTCCCGGGCTATTTTATTTTATATTTAAAATATATTATTATTTTTTATAGAGATGAGGTCTTGCTATGCTGTCCAGGCTGGTCTCAAATTCCTGGCCTCTAATGATCCTCCTGTCTTGATCTCCCAAAGTGTTGGGATTACAGGTGTGAGCCACCGTGCCCAGTTCTCACTGCAGATTCTGATCTCTGCTTATTCTGTCTCTCACTTGTACTGCTTGGTTTCTTTTTTTTTTTTTTTTTTGTT